ATGCACAATTTCGTCTTAATCCAGATAAATGTGAAATTGCTCGGACTGGAACAGATTACCTTGGACATAATATTAAAAATGGTGAAATACGCCCAAGTCCGCATAATATTAATGGATTATTAAATACAAGATTACCACAAACTGCAGATGAAGCTTGCAAATTTGTTAAAGCAGCCGAATATTATAGAGAATTTATACCAAATTTTTCTCAAATCGCCGAACCACTTAGAAAATTTGTTCCAACGACAAGAACTCAACAAAAGAAAGGACAAAAAACTATGATTACATTAACAAATGAAGAAATCAAAGCGTTTAAAAAACTAAAAAATTATCTTACAACTGATCTAGTGCTACGACTTCCAAATAATAGATTCCCATTTAAAATGCAAACTGATGCATCTGATGAGGGAATCGGTGCAGTATTATTACAGATTTATCCAGATGGTGATAGACCTATTGCATGTCTTTCAAAGAAATTTACTCAAGCACAACGCAAATGGTCTCCAATGGAACAAGAATGTTATGCATTTGTATGTACATCAGATAAATGGCATAATTACTTAAGTAGAATTAAATTTACTTGGGAAGCTGATCACAAAGTATTAACACAATTAAATCAAAAAGCTCAAATTAATAAGCGGTGCAAAAGATGGAGATTAAAAATTTTAGAATATGATTTCAAAGTGAAATGCATTCCAGGTTTAACAAATTCACCTATCATAGCCGTTGTTGAAACTCGTGCTATGAGATTACGAAACAAAACTTCAAATGACATTTCAAATACCACAAAATTAACATCAGATTCTCTAATTACTTTTATTGAAGAGAATCGCACAACTCCATTTTCAATTGAAGAATTAATTCAAGCTCAACAAAATGATGATCATGCAAAAAATATTTTAAACAATATGAAGAAATATAAAAATTATATTATAAAAGCTTGTTAGCGCAGCTCCAAAGGAGCTGAAATGTGGAACTCACGTATATCCTTTAGACTTGTTATCCTAATATGTCATCTGTAAACTGAAAGATTTCTGTTGATTAAAATGATTCTTATAACTCATCACTGACATAAACAATATTTTATTATTTATTTGTACATTTAAAACTGCGACTATCTTTTTCGTTTGAGCGCGCCCGATTTTTTTTATTAGTGTTGATATATACTCGATAATAATCATTTTTTTTTTGTTTTTTTTTTATTTAAAATTTTTTCATCATCAATTACTTCATAAATACGAGTCTCACAATAATGCACTTAATATGCATTAGCCATTCTTACAATACTTTTATACATCTCAATTAATTTATCAATAATGATATTGTTTCCTTCTGACACTAATAAAAAGATCGAATCATGTTTCCTGTATTAATTATATCATCGGTACGACAGATTAATACCTATTATCACTATTCACCGTTGATTTTTAGCATACAAGTTTAAATTCTTAAAAAAGCCAACGATTATACTATTAAGAATTTTGTTAAGTGCATGTTAGTTTTTTCAAATAATTATGAAAACATTATAATAGTGTATAGCAGTCAAATTCATATTCTTCAAACCGTTCAAGCCTTTTTCTATTGTTAAGTAAAGCTTAAGTTTTTTGTGTGCAGTTGCTGAGGTCTGTAATAGTGGGGTGTCTGTAATGAGGGGGGGGAGGGTATGTCTGTAATATTCTCTTTCTCCGTTGCTAAGTGTCTGTAATGGGGGGGGGGGGGGGGGGGGGGGGTTGGGTTTTTTTTTTTTTGGGGGGTGTGTGTGTAGGGGGGGGGGGGAGCCGCCAAACCTCGAACTTAAAACTTACACTCA